TGCCAGACCAATTTTATGCCTAACATGTAGGACACTGAAACAATAAGTAAGGTCATTAAACATTTGCAATAAAGACAGATTTGTTAGGACATTAACCATCTTGCACATCTCTCCTCTATCAAAGAGGAGAAAGTTCTTATTTTATTCTCCTCAAGGAGCTGAGAGAGCAGGGTCAGCGTCACCTCTGCCATTAACAAAAAACCTTTTTAGCAGAGTAGGCCACTAACTTCGTCACTCTGACAAATGATCTGTGCGATTTGCAGCGTATTTCACCCCACTTCCAGCCTCTTAAAGCCCAATCCATTACCAAAATGACAGCAGGAGGGCAACTGAGTGGCTTAGTGCACAGAGACACCGTCCTAAAAAGTCACTGTTTAATTGCTTTTTGAGAAAGATACTTAAGTCTTTTCCTGCCCACTTTATTTCCTACTCTGCAGTAAATTTTGATTTTATGGATTTTATGTCTGCAGGTGAGGCTGTGGAGCCGCTGCCTGAGCAGGGGGTAAGTGAGATCCCGGGCATCCGGAAGCCCAGTAAAGAGACCACCTGGCTGGGACCCAAAGAGAGCGCTGTACGCCAGCACAGACAGGAGATGAAGACCAAGATGAAGACCAACAAGGTGGAAGAGGTGAAACCTCCACGGCCCAAACAGGTGAGGCATAGCAGAGTGTCTGTTCTTTAGGAAAGCTCTGGAAATGTTGGGCAAAGTTATTGAAATTATTAAATGTAAGCCCTGAAGTCAAGAAAGGCATGAATTTAGCTTTTGTTCCTGAGAAATGTAGAAGACTGTCTTATGTGACAGAATCATATATGAAGATTAAACTTTCACATACCATTTTTTCTTCATGTGTGACACTAATGTTTTTGTAAATCGTTACAGTCTTTCCATTTTCTGTACTGTGTGGGAAAAAAAATCAAACCCTGTGGTACTGCTATTTCAACATTGTGAAATTTATCCAATTTGTCAGTATTTGTAAGAAAGAGATCATTCTTCATTGACATATTTGATAAATTGGCAACAATACCAAGTATCAGTCCAGAGCACTTTCTTCTTTCTCTCTTTTTTCTTCCCTGAATCTTTGTTGGCTGAAAAAATTGCAACATTAAATAATAGTAACAAAAAAACTGAATGGGAAATACATTCACATTTTTTCTATCCCTCGTGCAGTCCTGTTGATGGATTAACTTATTACTCTGTGCCGCGCTTTGAGTCTTGTGTCATGTCCATTTTTGCTTCTTGTAATTATTCCATTCCAAAATAATTATTTCCTTGTAATAGCTTTTTACTTGCTGTTAAAAGTCTTTAACCAGATATCAGTCACTTTCTAGTACAATTATTCCTGATTATAACTTACAGAGATAAAGACTCTTTATTTTTAGTACTTGTTTTAGGACTTTACCATGGGATCAAAACATAAAACATAATCATGAACCCATAGGCATCTAGGAATTGAGCAAAATTCAAGCTGGGGTAATACATTTATATTGAAATCAATTTTTGTTATATTTATTGAAATTCTTTTTACGTCCTGACATCAAACAATAAATCAAATAAAATACAGTACCTGTGGCTATCACCGACTGTAATGAGCATGGTCAATCAATTCATTCCGTCCAAATGAAATGATTGGTACTCAGTGCACATGTAAATCTGATTTTGGAGGGAGTGGCTTTGGAGGCAGGTCTTTTCCTAGTTGGATGCTTTCAAAATCTAGCTGTCTCTTGCTAGTTCTCCAAGGTTGCCTACTCTAGCTTTAAGCTAGTAAACAAAGGGAGGTTGAGGGGCTGCCTTTTTGCAAGCTTTGTCGCAGTGGAGGCCCACAGTCTCAGACTTTAAAAACCGGGATCTATGTAAATAGATCAACATATCTGGCCCTTTTCTCTTCTTCAGTTTAATTTTTTTCTTTGTTACCTCAAGGTGACTTTAACTACAAATCACTTCTTGACTTTAAGTGAAAAATGCACCAACAATGTTACTATTGTAGAAGTTTTAGAAAGTCACACTGTTATGACTTTAGAGCCTAAAACCTTGACTAACACAGTGTTTAATTTGATGGGTTGGATCTGTCTGATACCTGGTTGATTTAATAAGGTCAGGATCAGCACAGATACAATGCACCATATGGGATCATCACAAGACTCTGCTTGTAGAATTATTGTTGATACTCTCAGCCACATGGGTGTGAGATTGTATTGGTATCACATAAAGGTTGCAACCCAGAATTGTTAAAATCAACAAATTAAATGCAAAAAAGTGTGTGTGTGTGTGTGTGTGTGTGTGTGTGTGTGTGTGTGTGTGTGTGTGTTGTATTGTGAAAAATAAGCTCTTCAATACATGACATAATAATCATAAATAATACAGCCAACAACTACTATGACTGAACATAAGAATGTGTAAATAGTGCAGGTCTTTTGTTGATCTCCCTCAGCCATGATGAGTGTGTATAGAAACAGCTCCTAGACTTCTGAGGGAAGAAAAAGGAGTGCAGTGTCGCCTCCCTCTGGTACAGCAGCTGTAAGTGTTTGGATGCTGCAATGAAAAGTGTTTTATTGAAGATCATTTCATGAGTAAAAGTAGTGTAGACTGAGAAGGAAATATAGCAAAGATGAAATAGTTCCCCATTATTTTTTTTCCATTCAACACTTCCACCAACCACTGTGCTTTAATCAAAAGGCAGATATTTACTGACCTTAAATACACCTGACACGCTCTGTATCCCACAGCTGGGACTCAAGGGCATTTCTAACCGGCATCATGGTATTTTCCATCCGCCATAAAAACCATTTAAAGGTTATTGCTCCACCAGAAACGTATGACTGTCTCAACAAGGCATTTGGCTCAGTCGAATTGTGAGGTAAACCTGAGGTCACTGGCAAGAGTTATTATTTGTAATTGGCAAGAAAAAAAGCCCTTTAGCTTTACTGTGTGGGTGTGTGTGAATCTGTGTGTGTGCCTTTTATATGAGATTTTATGTAGCAAGTCCAAAATGTGCAGATTGCCTTTCAAACATATCTTGGTGCATCCTGGAATAGTTCCCCGTTGTGTGCATGGATTTTACTGAACTTGAAACCAGATTTATGATTTTTTTAGATAAGATATACAAGCAAACATTTTTTAAACAAAAACTCCAATTGGAAAAACTAATTTTTTGTGCACAGAAGTTGAAAAAATGTCATCAAAATCATTTGTACAGAACATTTTATGCCACAGGCCAACCACCTTTCAACCATTTGCCACTGACTCTAACACACCCAAATGTTTCGATGTGGGCCTGTGAACATGACTAATGTTGTTTTTGCTGTTTTGAAGACTCAGTGTCAGCAGGATCTTGATCAGATCCTGGAGAGGATATCCAAGATGCCCTTCAGAGATAACCGAGGTCCCCTGGAAGACCTGTACGCCCTGCACATCCCTAATTGTGACAAGAGGGGGCAGTACAACCTCAAACAGGTGACTCCAGGCATTTTGGGAAACAGGGTGGAAAGATGGTACACTATATTTTCAGACATTCGTCAAGCTAAAATGAATTTGATAATGATAGAAAATTCATTCATGTAGTATTAAAAATATAAACATTTCTTAAAGTATCACATTTCAAAGATTTTATTTAAATACCGGTGTTTATAGAAAAGATAGGGGGTCTCACGCATACAAATTGAGGGTTGTCAAAATAATCTAAAATAACACAAAAGCATGCAGAAACAAACAAAAACACATCATTTTGTATTTCAGTGCAAGATGTCTCTCCATGGTCAGAGGGGCGAGTGCTGGTGCGTCAACCCTCACACCGGCCGACCCATCCCGTCAGCCCCCACTGTGAGGGGCGACCCCAACTGCAGCCAGTACCTCAGAGAGCTGGAGCTGGAGCTCCCTGACATGGCCCAGATATAGCATGGCATGAAACAAACAAACAAAAAAAAAAAACAACAACAAACAAACTGTAAAGTACTTAGGAACAAAGAACATCTGAGTAAGCTATATATTATCTTTCTGTGTGTATGTGTCTCTAGTTAATTTGATGACGGTGACATTTGATATTGTAACCATCAAAAAAGGATTAAATGCTAGAATCCAGCTTGCTGCGTAGGATGTAACTGCAGATTATTCTTGGGAGAAGTAAAGATAAGACTCCTTTTTCCTTTAGATATTCAGTAGATGTCAGCTGGAGTGTCGGTGACTTGGCTTTACTAATTGTGACTTTGTTGAGATTTGCTCTGTTGTCAGTGTTTTGTACTGTATGTGTTGAAAAATGAAAAGCCTTCAACATATTTGGTGTTTTTAGGTGTGTTTTCGTGCCCTAGCTTGCAGACTACTGTTAATGCCTTATTAACAGATAACGCTATTAAAATGACAATAAATTCTATTTGTGCCTGCCTGTGTTTTAATTTGTAGACGCACTTTGAATTCGGTGCACTTGAAGCAGGGGTGTTTTGAAAGCATTTGGGTGTGTAATTCTTTACCTCTGTCACCATCAGATAGTAGTAGAAGTAGTTTATATTACTAGCGTGGTCACATTCGCTATTTAGAGCAAAAAACAGAGTATAGCTGAGGCTGATGGGAATATTGCAGGTATTTGGTCGTAAACCAAATACTGAATAAAATTACATTTTGACATGATAATGGCACCATATGAAAAGTCAGGGGACTACCAAATTCATTACAATTTATCCTGAGGGGATATGAATGTGCATACCAACAGTCCATCCAATAGTTGTCAAGACATTTCACTCAAAAACACGCATCAACCTCATGGTGGCGCCAAGTCTGTACTAAATTTAATGGCAATCCATCCAGTAGATAGAGATATTTCAGTCTGGACCAAAGTGGTGGACCGACCACACCCCAGATGAATAATGTCAAGGCAGTTTTGCTTTTGACAGCAGATGGAAACAACCTGCACGGAGTAGAGTCAAAGTTACAGAGATAGCACAACCACTGGCTCAACAACTTTCCATCTGGGCAGAGTTCACACATTTAACGATAGACCGACAGATAGGCATTTTGTGAGTACATGAATTTTTATTTAAATAGTGATTTGTCATTACAAAAAAAAAACACGAGTACATCAATTACACACCTGATAAATATTTCACTGTAATGTTCACATTAATCTTTTTTTTAACTGAGATTCTGAAAAGTGTCACTGTGTTGTGTTTACATGTGTGCTAGAATCATGAGAGAGAGAGGTGTTTCACTGGGAAGAATTGGCTGATGAGCTCCTGCCAATGCTCTCCCAATATCACAAGATAGTGATTAGGCATTAGGAATGTCTGAGATTATAAGAGTCATTAATTGAACATTAAGATTACAACAACAACAACAAAAATAATCTAAACAACGTTTAAACTTTAGAACAAATATGTTGTTCTCTGTCATTGTACGTTCGGCAGTGCTTGACTGGGAAATCTTTCAGACCACATCCACACCAAAACTTTTTTCCTCTTTTGTGCTGGACTGTCCCTCATTCAACGACACTATGAGTCGCATTCAAATCAAAATTCAAAGTGGTGTCGGGCAGAAGGCACTTGCATTTACATAAACTCAGCAACCTTGCTCTTTGCAGGATATAGGACCTGATGAACCATGAGAGCAAGTCACCATCGACCAACAGGAAAGCGTGGAAACATAAACAAGCGCGCACTTTGCATACAATTTGCGTGTGAAGGAAAATGCGCCGCACCACATTTGTCGGACAGTAGCTTGGGTAGGCTGGCCTCTATGTGAGCTATAAGGGCATGGCACATACAGCATAGTACACACACACACACACACACACACACACACACACACACACACACACACAGAGACACACTCAGGAGCATGCGCACACTGTACATACATTTACAAACAGTGGACACAATTGTCTGGACTTGATAAAGGCCTTTCAAAAGGAGAAGTCAAATATTTAACCTTTTATAGTATAATCCTAATTGCTTCTTGATGAAAGCACCATGGGTCTGTCTGAGGTGGTAAAGCCAGAATATCACTTTATGAGGGGTTGACTGCATAAAATATTCCCCAAATTTAAAATTAGTTGTTATGGATTTTGAGCACCGGTTTCTATTTCTTGGCTCTGAGCGGTAACAAGGCAACTAACAGAGACTCTCATCTTCTCAATCTTCTCATCTAACTCTCTGCAAGAGAGGGGGATATGTTTATTTCCTAAAATGTCAAACTATTCCTTAAAGTGTGCAGGTCTTTGGCTCCAATTAGTTATAAAAGACCAATGATTTTTTGAATTGATGCTGAGCAAACATACGATAGCTATTACGCTGACATGGCTGTAAGTTGATTGTGCCTGTCTCCTGCCCACTCACGAGTGACCCATGTGATGACAATATAATATATCCAGCCTCCTACAGGAATCCTGCAGAACCCTTCTCCCCTTTTCCTGCTTGGCAAAATAGCCTACAAGTGGGATAGTGTTCCGTGACAGTAGGTTGGAAGCAGAATTAAAAGGCAGACGTCGTTAATGGATATATAAAAAAATGCCTCTTACATCAGGATGTCATTCACGCAATTAAAAATGAGTAAAAGATCGCTAATTTAGACAAGAACTGACTTACTCTTCAGTGATGTCTCGTGATTGTCAGTCTTTCATGTTGATTGTCACCATGACCAAATTAAAATAGAGATTTTTAGCCACATTTAATATATGTCTTGTCTCAGAAGTTCTTAAGAGTAAATTTAGTAATAGACTCATAAGTACACAACATATTATCAGTATCATACAAATATATATAATCCTCTATTATCTATGGATATAAAGAGGTGAGGTGTTAGCTACCCTCAAACATAGTACACAGTCAGTGGGGAGCCAGAGTAAAGACTTACATGCGCAGATTTTCACCCAATTAAGCTTTTTAGTTCAGCTCCCCTTAAAAATGAAAACAGCGCAGTCCATCACACCTGACTATATATATAAGCATTTGTGCCATATTTTTTGGATTGGAAGTCATTATGTGGCAGGTTTGGAGCTCAACTTAGTACGACCAGTTCACTCTGTCATTCGTTGCTGTTGCTGCTGCTGTCGAGGCCTTTGCACTGCAGGTCTCCTCCAGCATAGTTGATGCCGTGCATTTTCAGGCCAAAACGGTCAACGCACCAGCAGATCCCCCTCCTCCGACCACGAGACGGCTTACACTGCAAGTTAAGAGTTTATTGGACAAAGGTTATGAAGCAGATGAGATGAAACCCTTGCCTGCTTTGTTAAATTTATAAATTACATGTAATAAATAAATGTATCCATACCTGTTTGCGCTTGAAGAAGCCCTTCTTGTCACAGTTGGGAATGTGCAGAGTGAGAGCCAAGACCCTGGAAGTGTCCTTCATGCTTTGAATTAGACTATCCAGTCTTCTCCTGCAGGGCCCCTACACATACAGACACAGGTGTGAGTGTTTGCATGATATCAGTGTGTGTTTATGTAACAGAGTTTAACATTATGGTCTAACATGCCCTTGGAAGTTTGTGAGTATCAAGAATAAGGAGGTGGGAAGTACCTCCACTGATGAGTACTTTTGTAAATTGGCATTTGAAAGTGTGAAAGTGGCCCTGCAGGGCATCTTGGATGATTTGTCAGAACTGGTTTCTTTATGAAGCCTGACGCAGTAGAGTGCAGTAGCCTATCTGAGAGTTTTCTGATTTAAAGTAAAGCAAATGTCTGTTTGTTTGCCAATATCAAAACAAAATATGGTTCAGAAAATTGCTCCAAATCTCAATCAGTCAAAGCAAAAATGTCCCTCTGAGTTATCTTTACTGAGTATCTTTACGTCACTTACAAACTCAGGCTCCAGTTTATCCAAGCTGGATGCTGAGAAGTCTGTATTCCTGATGAGTCCCGGCCTGGCCAGATAGTTCTTGCGTACATTGGCCTGCTCCATGGCCTGGGCCTTCTTTTTGTCGATGTGGCCTCTATATAAGGGCACCTTGGTTTGGGGTGGCATCAACTCAGGGGCGGGTGGCATGGCATCATCGTGAGATTCTCCATCTGATAAGGAGGTAAAGACAGACAAGGTCACTCATCATTGAGGGAAGGACATCATATAGTTTGCAAGCAATTACAGCCCTGTGCAATTGATAGTATTGTGTATTATATCAGGGTATTTTGTTTATCATTATTAAACACAAGGTTGTATAACAGAATGAAAGAACCTTGCATGCTCGTTACGGTACATATTTATGTACATACATACTTGTGCACGTGCTAGTAGATCACAATATTCAAACAAACCGGGGACCGTCTCATAAAAACATTGCTCTATAGCGCTACTAGTGGTCAAGAACTCCACACTGTGCACCAGAATTTGATAATTTAAGTCTCTGCCAAACATGAGCTTTCATTTTTGAAAAATGTCAAAATTCAAAACTAGATTAGCCTTAAAAAGTAATTCATAACCCTTCTTTCATTTCTACTATTATTATTATTATTATTTATTATATTATTCATTCCTTAAATTAGTGTAAAACTGCTAATTAAAAATATGCCACTTTCTGAATTAGAATCTGTTGTGCAACTGCATAAAATAATATAAAAATGTACCAAAAAAGCTCAGCTGCAGTTAGCTGATGCTTGATTTACACAGGATTATTATTATCAGATGAGAACTCTCTTTGACACAGTATAGTCAGTCATTTCTACAAGAACTTTACAAATTACAGACAGGCAGGATTTAAAAAAAACAATGATACCAATTACTACAAAAAACTTAATGGCCACAAGTATAATATTAGTTCTTGTGTGAACACAGCTTCAAAGCATTTTTCTGTTGCTTTCGTGAGACTGTTTGAAGGGGGTCAAAATCTAGAGCACCATGACAGCTCCCACCTGGAAATGTACCTATTTGAGGGGCTAAAATTAAAAAGTAAAGCTAAACTCACGAGGGCACAGGACAGGCGTGTCGAATTTGGTAACGTCACAAAACAAAGTGATGATTTCACTGCACCAGCTAAATGCTTATTTAGCACAGTTAGTGGCTACTGGCCAGTTTCCGATTGGATGTGTTGACATACAGAACAACAGGGCCTACATTTATGGCAAGTTAGGCTGCCAGTTTGGGGTATATGTAGACCAGGGGTTTTAAAACTTTTATAGCCAGTGACCTAAATGAGATATTTAGTCTCACCCTGGCACCCAGGCCCATGAAAACATGCTATTACACTTGTCATGTGGCAAGCCACCAAAAACAGCCGCAGCCCATTTTGGGTGCTAACCCCCACAGAAACCCTTGTGTACATGCATCTTTCATCTGTGGAAAATATAGGTCTTTGCTAAATTTTGGGGAGTTGTGCACAGTCGCAGAAACCTCAGCTCTCGCCACCCCCCCTCGTCCCACCCTCTATTCATATGACCACAGCAACTGTGTTGAGGTCAGAATGAGCGGCTTTCTTTCCCAAAAGCACTTTAAATTCATATTTCACTTCATTTATAGCTTTAAACATGCATTAGCCTTGTATGTGTCCTAAGCCACAGCTGGCCCATTTCCACTGCTGTGTCACGCACTTGCTTCCGTTTCATTTTGGCAGATTGCAAACTCTGCATATAAACCCCTCTGTTTCTGCACTGACGTGATCGCTAAGCTACTAAGCTAACTGGGCGGTGAAACAAGGCCACCGCCACGTTGCAAATGATCCTTAAAACCTCCCAAGCCCCTCCACCCCCCAGTGATGATGATGAAGAGCACGATGATGTCAGCCATCCACATAATGACAGGTTCTTGGAAAAAACAAGAGAGATTCCCCATCCTCCAGTTTACTGCTGACACTGTTTTATTTTCTCCAGAGAAATCTGAAGCAGATCAGCAGCCAGTGTAAGTCAAAGCAAGTCCTCACTTGCTAATCCTCGAGCTTGTCTAATCTGACCTGTGCTGACTGATCACATCTTTCATTTTCTTTCTTCTTCTCCCTTTTCCTCGTGTTGGAATTGTGAGACCTGATGATCCTGGAGATCCCTGCAGGAATTAGTGACAAAAAAAACTCTTGTTGCCTTCCTTGCTTCATCTGGAAAATCAATGTAAAGGAATCTCCCCAGATAATGCTGCAGAAGCATAACCATTACTTTACAAACATTACATGTTTTATAGTGCTACGCACACTTGCAAACATGACTAAACACTTAAATTTTTAACTTTTATCTGGTTTAAATGACAGCTTGTGTCATTTTTTCTGATCTTTGACACATACAAAATACATGTGCAAAATGTGGTGGTGAAAAAATCACACATCACATGTACTTAGAGTGTACGCATAACCTTTTTGGCAACTCCTACTATTTTATAAATTTACTGTATGTATGCGTACACATTTTTTTGGCTCATTTCTAAAGTGCCTCTAAGATGAGGTGTGTAGATTTATGAGCGTGTTTATGGGTTTTGTTTAATATATGTGTTAAGAGAGAGCGCCCAGCAGGAGATGTGGAGTTAATGGAGAAGCTGGCTGACAGGCAGACAGATGGGGGATCAGTAACCCACGCTCAGCCTGCATTCTGCTGAATCACTGCACAGCCTGGGCCTGCCTGCAGCGCCGAGACAGAGCGAGGGAGGGAGAGGAGGAGGGAGAGGAGCGAGGGAGACAGATGAAGAGACCAGGGTGGGACTAACGAAGAGTGGTGGGAGGGAGCAGAGGATAGAGTGGGAAGGGGAGGAAAAGGGAAGGGGAGATGAATAGAAGATTGAAGGTTTTTTTTTGGTTATACAACAATTTTTCAGAAGGGTGAAATAATCTTAATATGATTGATTGAATGCAGCCAAAGAATGTTTTTTCAGTGTAATCTGACTAACAGCAAAAATGTTATGGTAAAAAGGAATTCTGATCACAAAAACAACAGAAAAAGAAATGTCAGATTGATGGCCAGGGAACAAGCTTATCTTTGACAAGGCTAATTTGAATGTGACACTGATAAGTTTGTATGGCATCATATCAACGCTTCCCCTGTCCTTATCTTCTGCCTTTTGTTACTGGACTTGTAACACCACTTAACCAGAAAGTGAGGTTTAACACAGCCAGTGAGATTATTTGTGTTTCCAGAGTAGCTTGTACACTAAAGCTCCAATATGCAGGAAAATAAAACACAACACAGAATGGAAAGGGTCAACTGGGGATGGAGGGAGAGGAAGAATAGGGTGGAAAAGATGAGGAGGGACAGTCGCCAGGCAGGGAAAGAGGAGAAGGGGCACTGTGGGGGAGAGAATAGAGAGATGGAGACAAAAAGGTGGGTTAGATGTGGGAAAAGGCACAGGTGGTGGATGAAGAAAAGTAGAGGTGTGCAGGCCAACTGACAAAAAAGGAATAGAAAATACAGGAAACTATAGAGGAAGAGAAGAGAGTAAAATCTGATTTCATCCCGTGAAGAGAGTGAGTGCAACGGCCACAAGCCAACATTTCCCTCAAAGCGCTCCCCAGCAGACACAGTGACTGTCCCTGAACTGCCATTCAAAGGAGCCAACAAGGAGCCACACAGAAACACCACCTGTAATTTTCTCCCTTGTTTTGAGTCGGCTGGGGGGCCCCAAGGCGATGGGCCACTCACACGAAACCTACTGATTTATGGATCACAGCCCCACAAGGGCCTTTCAAATCAAGATGACAGGATGATTGGCGCCCGGCACCAATTGTTGACAGAGTTCACAGGGTCATGGCACACAAGTGCTTTGGAGTCGTGTGCCTTGGTAATGACAGGTGTCAGCCCGTCTTAAAGAGGGCTGTGAGTTGACCCACATCTGCCTCGCTGGCTCCTAAAGAGACAAGGAGACAGGGGAGGGCACCTGAACTCATTTCACCCTCTTTTTTTTATCCCCCTCCTATAGAAAAAAGAATGTATATTCACAGCATGCATTTTGGAGGAAGGTTTTATGATAGGGTGTGAAATAGTGTGTCTTTCTTTTTCATTTACCACTGTATCACTGGCTTACTGTGTGCATGTGTCACTTATGGGCTTCATTAAAATTCTTGCATTGACAAGGGAGGAGCAACATCTCCATCCAGCTGTTTGCTATTTCTATGCCCAGAGCCCTTTAGATCTTAGGCTGAAACATCATTTCTGCAAGGCAAATGTACAAATACTATGAGATCTAACATATTTATCATAGAAGTATTGGAATTATTGCTTGACCAAGGAGATCACTACAAATGTGTTGCAATAATTTGACTTCAGAGTCCCATAGTTTAGTATAATGGAGGAAAAGAATATAAAACAAGGGATTTACTAACTTCAATTAATAAAAAAATAAAGCTGCAATCAATTAATGTCTCCCTTAATTCAGTTAATTAATGCCCCGTTAAAGTCAGTCCCCTGTATATGCATAATTATAGCTTTTGTGGTCTTTCCACACGCCTACCTTTTGACGAATGCAACATTTTATACAACTTCTCGTTCATGCACACCCCCCGTCCGTGCAGAAGCGCGTGCAGCGGCTTCTCCTCGCCATTCTTGGGCAAGCAGCGGAGCCCGCGCGTGCACGGCCTGGTGTACACGCCGCACGGCTGTCCCTCTTCGAGCGCGCACGTCAGGCAGCAGCCGCAGCCGGGCTCCTTCACCAGATGACAGCCCACCGGCACCGGCGGACACATGGACATGGCCTTCTGATCGCACGTCTGGCACGGCACGTACGACGAGCCGCAGCCGGTTATGGTCAGCAGGGGAACCACCAGCAAGGAGACACTCAGTAGCATGGTCCGATTCTCGTCTTAACTGCAGGGTGTTTGACCGAAACCGCAACGATTATCAATTATATCTTGAGGCGAATCCTTACTTTGTAAACGGTGTGAGTCCAAAGATCAGGGGGATGTTGCATCCACAGGTGCCTTCAAGTCCCAAATGTTTTGCGCATCCGATGCTCGCAATCCACATAAAACAGTCACTCTGCTCCCCCCCTGCGCTGTCCCTTCAACCTTGCAGTCACCGATAACTTAAAAAGAAAAGAAAATATCCAGACACCAGTGATGCCCGGTGCCGTTTACGCGCAAACTCTCTCCAAATGAGAGCCTGATTCTCGCTGTCGCTCCCTCTGTAGGTTATTTTACCCGCACGGGTTGTGAGCAAAATGTAATCTGTGGCTTTGAGCTTGCCTTTTAAAAAAGAAACTACCAGAGGCGAAGCATATAACGATGGGTATGTCAAAAAACGTTTGGAGGGGAGGCGCACTTGTCAACTCCGTGCACCGCGATGCTGATTTCAAAGGGCGGGTGCTGGCATGCCTCCAGATCTGCCAGATAGGAGACGATGCTCCTGAAGGCGACTGAAGAAGACCTTCTCTCTCTCTCCCTCTCTCTCTGCAGAGTGGGCATTTTGCATATTAGATGTTTGTGCTGAAGAACAAGGAAGATCACTTACACTTACAAGATCAACCAAGAAGAAGCAGTTCTACAGTTTTACAGAAATCACAAGAAAGAGTCACACATAAAAATCCTGCCAATACTGCAAGCAAGACAGAAACAACTTGGCACAAAAAAGAAGCAAATGTGACATAATAAAACAGAGATTAATTGCCATTAAATTGCCAATTGATTTTTTCCAGACCTTGCTTTTATGGACCAAATTTCAATGACTAATAAAATACTTTTTGGTCAGTGTGTTGCATAATGTTATTTTTTGCCTGCTCCTCTGGTCACAGAACCCATAAAAAGAAAAAGGCTCACTTGACTTCCTGCTCTTAGTCAGACTAACATCTTTTACAGTTTTCATCCATTTATGTTGTGGGTTCTGTGGTTAAACTATACATTAATGATATCTTTTTTGCATATATGCCACAAGTTAAGCAGACCTGTTGATTGGTCTGGAATTTGTCTCGATCTCTGCTTGTTTCAGAAATCCCAGATGCTGATCTCCATCAAAATTGAAATACTTCTTTGTCACAAACTCACTGGAACATGCATTTATAGTATTCAGATAGTTGTGTTGACCGCAAACATGGTTTGCACTGTTCCCCTGTGGAGCTGCCAGATGGATACATAGAACCCACTACACCCTAAGCCCTAACATGTGTCATTTTCTTCTTTCTTTGTCTATGTCAGAAAAAGAGAAAACTGACCGTATAATGGCACCAAATACATAAAACTTAAGTCTTTCAAAGTTAAGGGTGGGTTCCTGCTTGTGAAACAAGAAAGATTTTATAAGTCCCCTAAGATATCTTTCAGTGTCTCTCTTCTGCCAAAGAAACTGTAGCTTTAAATATTTGTTCGATGCTGTCTTAACCATAACAAATGTATTCTCCAAAGATCTGCACAACGATATGCTGTAAAAGGTCCAGATCAGGGCAAATTGCATTGAGACTGACCTTATTTTATGACTCAGCGAGGTCAGTGTCCAGTGAGATAAGTGGTCAGCTCTCATGGAGTGTCACTGAGAACAAAAGCCCTCATAATTCACTTGATGTTTTAGCAAATACCAATATATGTCTGAGGATTGCAGATAATCAGCATATTTCTGTTTTTAGTAAACATAGCCCCTGCAGAGTCCAAGAGGAGTTAATTTAATGCTTTTGACCCTGGTCATGTTCATCCTCTTGGAGTAGGCTGTTAGTAATTCATTGATTATTTGGTTTAATTTACCTCTTTGTTAACATCCTGTTTTTCTTCATGTTGAGTTTGCACTTTAAGTGGAGTTTTAGTGTCCCCTGATAGGATAAATCCAATTTCAGATGTTTGTAACGTCAGTCAGTGCTGAAACTGACCTTTAAAGACCCACACTGATCAAAGCTTTTATTCCTTCGCTGTGTCGAGTTTCACTTCCTCTTTCTCCCTTCCCCCCTTTGTGAAACTTTGTCGGCAAACTCTACTCAGATCATCCGACCCCCATTTGCCTTTGCCCTTGACCTTTGCGCCGTATCAGGTTTCAAATGATGTCAGGCGTGGTGGAAAGGTCATCTCAGCCTCACCCACACACCCCTTTCATTTCCCCCGTTTACCTGTCCAGATCTGAAGAAAGAACAGCATTCACATTGTAAACCTATGCGACACATCTGTCTTTCACAGGTTCCAACACAAATCCTCCCTCTCAAAGTCATCGTCTTGAGACTCTCCTACACATTTTATGATTCATAAATTGGTGATTTATTACCCAGAGGCATATTGGCAATGCTAATATGTCTACACTTGTTTTGTTTTCTCCAGATGTGAGACATGGAGGAACTGTGGTCCAAGGGCTGTTAGTGTTCGTAAACCCCCGCACTACGTCTGTTAAGGCTGGGTTTCCTGTATAGTTTTGGTCTGAGTGAGTTGGTGTATATGGGCCATATGATGCACAGATTGTGCATGTAGCTGCTCTGGAAAGAGGTGAATGGTTTGGGATTTCCCTTGCAATTAAGCCCAGAACTAAATATGCAATGTCAAGTCTATGGGAGGTTTTAATGCTTTGGGTGTCCATATCAGTGAGTGTAAGTTCATTTAGCAACACAGTAGCTGTTAGGGTTGTAATGACAAACAAAATACACTGTTCAGTACATAACTAGAATTTGAATTCACAGTTTGGTACAACTTCAGCTAATTAATTTTGGGCATGCAGTTCCCATCCTTTCTACCACCCTTAGTCCAGCGTTGCTGTAACTTAGTGGGAAACCATCTTCCCTCCCAAACAACATTTCCAGCTCTAGTTTTTCCTTCTGTGTTTGCCCCATTGACAACACTTGGTACATGAGCAATGCATTCAGGGGATAAACTTGGTAGCATGGTTTAGCTAACAAATAACAAAAACGTTAAATGCCCTACACACCAGGTGCACCCACACAGGAGATTTTAATTATTTTTGGATGATTCAATCTCATCTTAGTATTGTATGGGCATGTATGAACTGTACTTGCTTGACATCGTGACTATCCTGTCTTTGATGCACCTGTTAGTTACACTTTCATTATTCTTATTGGTACATGGAGTCTAGTTTCCTCACGTAATTATCAGTGTTGTCATGGTGCATTAATGTGCTCCTCAGATGGTCCCATTTCCCGAGTTGTAAAGTCTTTCTTCCGACTTCTGTATGCTCTTGCGCTTTTAAGTCGGAATGTGGAACAACACGGATGGTACGACAAAGATGTCTTGGATTGTCATTGTCATCCAAGTATGCTGAAAGAGTTTGAAGCTTTCTATTACAAAGGGATTTTTGTCCCAGAGTTGTTACTGCACCATTACATTAACTGAAACCACTAAAATATTGCCTGTTCTGCAAATACTGCTAATAAATAACTTTCCCAATTAATCTAGGTCAATCTATATGGACAGCAAACTAACCATTATAACCAAATGACACATTAGCCAAAAATGTATATGCAATACATGATTTCATACCATCAATCAAACGTTTCTAACCATCAACAACGTTGACAAAGCTTTGACAAAGCGTCGGTATTCAAAGTACAAGTTGCCCTTCCTTTGAGATGCCCTGGGTTTTCAGCTAAATCCGATGTAACCCATCCACGTCAGGAGAAGTAGTATAAGGAACCAAAATTCAAAGTTGACTTCTTTAAAGTTTTAAGTTACATATTGTTATGTATTTCCCATTTAAAATGATTCTCAAAAATGTGTGTGAGAAAAACTTGAAATGAGTACAAAACCTATGTATATTTGCCTGTCTTTTCTATTGTGAATGGAATTATAGTGCAAAGTGTAGGTCAACTATTTAAAAAAAAGTTATTTCTATTTGGTTTTGAATTTGTTTAAGATGTTTTACCAAACTAGTGTCACGTAAGCAGGTCTTATCAAAATGATAATTTCTATGTCTTTGTGTTCACTTGAAAGAAAAAAACATGTTCACTCTTGCCCCCTCTGGCTTTATACAGAACAGTGCATTTATTTTAGGAGAATGTTTCAGATACCTGTACTACTTCAACTCCTGGGAGTACATCATTCAGAAAAAAGTGATGCATACTTTGATAATATGGAAACTGGCACGAAAGTAAGAACTTTACAGAAGATGTTTACTTTTTTATCAGACAGAAGCTTTCCCTGTGGATTCTCGAAAGGGTCTGAAAGTTATTTTTCTTCTCAAAATTTATATACAGTAGAGTTCAAGTCATCCATCTTTTGTCCCTCTCATCTATGATTCCCTACTTTTTCCTCTGCCATTGTTCATCTGCTTCGTCTGCAGCTTGGCTTTCATACCCTGACCTATTTTATCTATCAAAAGACACTGAAGCTGCTGTGGCACTTGTTCTGGAATAGATAATGGAGCTGGAGTCAACCTGAGCGATGTCTGAATGGAGAAAATTTTCAAAAGCGGAGAAAAGAAGCAACCTCAGCACAAAATAGTCCGGCGTCGTGATACAATCTATGGGAAACAGCTCTCCAGTGTCGTGTTTCTCTTCAGCCCCAGGACCTCGGGCTAACGTGCTGCATTACAAGAGAATCGAGAGAAATGGTATGCCAGACAATGAAGTAATGCTTGTGAAAGTGATACCTTGTGCTGCAAGACATTTTCAAGGGTTGGATGTTTTTTTTGTATTAGCTGATTTGCTAATATCATAAACAAAATAAGTTATTTTGTTTGCTTTTGCCAGCTAAAAGTCTGCTTTTGCATTGGTACCATGACACAGCGGCATGTAATGGTAATGAAAATATTTGACCTTGTTTTAATGTAAAACTGATCAAAGTTGAATGAACAAACATAAGATGAAGCATGAGGTAAACTGGCATAACATCAGCTTTGATACAAGCGTTGGTATTGATTTTCCGGTTAGTTTATGTTTTACCTGCTTCACCGATGGTTGTTGTGAATAGTGACTGAAAGAATTAGGTTGCAAATGCAATCAACAAAAAATGAAGAAGCAGTTTAAGAAGAATCTTTGCGCTCTTGTGTTGAAACAAGCCAGTTGACGTGGTGGAGAGACTATATCCAATTTAACAATGAATGTGTGGGCCACTTACCAGAAAATAGATAGAAAACCGATTGAAACCCAGTGTGAAGTCCAATCTATATCAGTGCATTTCTACAGTGGTTTGGCTTAAACTTGCACTCCGACTGTATGCAGCTTGATGTGGATCAGCAGATGAGTAGTTTGTGTGACTGATGTGTGCCATATGACACAGTCAGGGCTTACTGTAAGCGACAAAGCCGAGGAAACCGCTGGAAATGTGCTGAGGCAGCGTGCTTTGCCCTCCCCCATACACTCATAGAGAGATACAGTCAATTCCCAGAATACTGTCAGCACTTGATTTTCA